GGGGGTAACGACAAAGTGGGTGGAATAAGGTGGGAAACGAGGGAGCCACCGGTTAAGTATGGCAGGTCGCACGGGCGTGTACCGTAACCGTAGGCTTGGGACAACCCGACAAGACGGTGAGATGGGTGAGAAAACCCAACAGGAAGGGTCGCAGGGAATTGGAACAGCCTGGGGGCAAATCCAACGGGTGATTGGCTGAAGGGCGGTCAGATCCTGTGGACCGGGCGTGGATGAGATGTCCGATGTAAAGTATAAGGTGTGTAAAGTACGTAGGGGAAAGGGAGGTGACGTTGTGAAAGGATGGGTTGCAGTGGTTGCAGTGGTGGTTGCAGTGGAGGTGGTGGATTTGCACGCTGGGAGCGGAACAAAAGTCACCGGCCAAGATGGTGGAAAACTGAAGATTCACGACTGACTGGCGACGGGGAGGAGAGGAAGATAAAAAGAAGGCAACGACCAGCGCGAGCCGAACGTCAAATAGAAGCCGAACAGACTTTCTGGGGGACCGGACGAGCGAGAGGGGGGTGGGTAAGGAAGTTGTATGTAAAGTAACAGCCAGTAAGTAAAAGTATGAGTGGCAGGCGCCTAAAGTAGTAACAAAGTATGGCACATGGCTTCTCACCCGACACTCTTTTCTATACCGTTGTGGTTATTTTCAGTTTATTTAATTTCCCTATCCTCTATTTAATTTTTATTCTCTTATTTTATATTTATTTTCCTTTCTTCTCCCATACCTGCATTGCGATGTACCTTCTAGATTTCACCTCTGCTTTATTAAGGACACCAACGGACCAAACATTGACATGAACCGGAGCCTCTACTAACAAAGTCAAAACTATGGATTAATTCCCCCCACCACCCACTTATAGCCACCCAGTCTATTCTCACTAGAAAGACTCCATACCCAGCTCCTATCGAAAATCAACTGCCTGTTCTCCGTGAAGAAACCAACGATCAATTACCATGGCAGGAAGCAGCACGATCCGAGCGGGAAACAAAGGAAGTAAAGTAAAAGAAGTAGCAGAAACGCTAGAATCAAGAATCAAGACCGATTAGGCAAAGCCGTGCGTCTCTATTTTGCCGATAGGCCAATCTGGTCAGGAGCTGGTTGGTTGATATACACCTCTACATCCTCATGCAGCATGATGACCAGCAACTAGCGGGCGAACCGATGCGACGGGGCGCTTTGGGGGGGAGGAAAGATGGAGTCTAATGCCGTGGCACCCTACCCACTCTGGAACAATGCCCGAACCCACCGCGTCTCGCCCGCGGGTCTGAAGAAGGTCGCGCCGGAGGGGGTGTTGTTTTGTGTTTTGCTGATCCGGAATATTATCAGTTCGATGCTCCTGATCTTGAGTAATTTACAACAGATAGGAATAAATATGAACATGACATCCTTTCATATCCGCGTGGTCGGAATCGGATGCTGCTGCTGCTGCTGCTGCTGCTGATGATGTCAGCTGGAAAAAGTGAGCGGTTACCAAACAGAACTACCGCGTATTTTCCGGGATATGCTTCAGACAACCAAAGCCCGTGTATTTTACAGTTCGTCACATACCCCAACAGCCACGAAGCTGCAAGAAGACGATAGTGATGGGAATAATAGCAACGCTCTAAGTACAGAGTACATAGTGGTCAGTTATTAACAGCCCAGGGCTACCAAAAACGTTTTTGTGCATGGACTGGAGAGGATGACAACTGACTTTGAGCAAATAGAGAAAGAAGCCTTACGTAGATGGCGGTGCCGCCTAGATCAGACAACCTGCTGCAGGCAACATGATGAAATGAATCATTGGGGGTGCTTTACCCTGGCTCGGTTCGGTTTACTTCAATTTCACGCCAGGATAGCGATGCGCCGTTCAATCAGGTAACCCCATGAAGGAACTACCTCCTGAGCTGAGACTCGACTCACTTCGACCGAAGATCCGGCCGAAGGATAGAAGAAGACTACTCAGGAGCAAGACCTACCAATTTATATTATATTATATGTACCCGGGAACCGATTCCTAGTGAGAACTCTAAGGAATTGCAGTGTCATCATAGTGTCTGTCTCGACTGGTGTCATTTCTTCATAACCGACTATCCCAACTTATCCAGCCATTCATGCATAAATTGTGGTATGACAATAACTTCGGACATTCCTTAGGAAGGAAATAGGGATTGACTTACAATTTTTATTCTCATTTTCTAGTTACCTTAACTACTAAAGAGTAAACCCCAATATTATAGACATCTCTAACTATCTACGTAGTACTCACTTAATCACAACGAATTACCCACAAAGTACTAGTAGGCTAAGTCCTATCCGCCCGGAAATTCTAGACTCTCCTCCCTGACCAACAACTCATCACACAACGCTGAAACCATAGTACATACATACATCTCCATACCGAGGTATCCCGACAGCCTGGTCTAGTTATTTACTCAATGTAAATACAGCATTCCATTCCATCCCATCCATACAGCTAGACCATGCATTGCATAATGCATGACACCACACCACACCACGATTCCTACCCTACCAAAGAAAAAAAAGAAAAAGGAAAAAAGAAAATAAATTAGAAACGGCAACGGCTTCATGCAGCCTGTCTTGTTCTGCTGCAGTGTAGGCGCCAACTCAACACGCTAGATAAGTACTTACCTGCCATTCATTCCTTTGCAAGTAACTGACACTGACCCTGTAAGTATGTGTGTATGTGTATGTAAGTATGTATGTATCCAAGCGGAAAAAGTTACTAGTAGCACGTAAATATAAGAATTTGTCAGTAGTGAAGAAAAAAACATGAAGCAACGGAAGAACTTTAACTTGCAGCTGAGAGCGCCTGACGGAGTAGATCGGAGAAATATGAACCTACCGGGTTGCGTGAACTTGGAGGGTTGGGTTTGCTCCACTGGTTTGTGTTTTGTACATTTACTTTACTTTTATGTAGTTGGAGGGTGAGTTGGTGTAGGTGGGTAAAGTAAATAAGTAAGGATTATCTTTGTTGTTGTGGACACATGGTTTGATAGTGATGATAATGACGGTGGTGTTGTTATGCTTATTGTTGGAACCGTGGTTCTGGTTTATTATTGCTCCTTGCTTTTAAGGGAGCCTTTGTTGTTGATTCGGGAAAGCCGACCGGGAGGTACGTAGTAGCTAAGTAACAATTGAGTACTTAGATAGTAGATAGATAGGTTAGAAAGATAGCCGACCGTCAATTACTATTTACTTCAAAGTACATAAGTAGATATATACATACTACTCTCACCTCTCTACCCAACATCGCACCGAATATCCGGAAACCAAACAATAAAAGATGGACCCCGGTGCCAAACACCCGGGTACACTGGACTCGATCTATCAGACAATCAGCACTTCACTTCACAGCCAGCCAGCCAGCCAACTACCTTATTTAGTAACCCGTAATCTGCAGGGCTGAATAATTAATTAATATATCTACGATAGAAAAGGAAAAAAAAAAAAAAAAAAAAAGAAGCAATCATGCTGAACACTACTTACACCACACCACATCCCCTCAGTAATCAATCAATCAATCAGTAAGCTTCACACACAGCTGACCGACCACCAATCTCCGTCCGGGTCAGTCAGTCAGTCACGGAGTAAGAAAAAGAGGGGGAAGTGGAAGGGGGTAGGAAAGGGGAAGAGCATGGGCCCAATCATAATTCAGTTTTCTGTGTATGGTCGGGATATCCAGTCCCAGCGCCGCGGAGAGCACCGAACACTGAACCTTTCAACCTGTGGATGCCAGGCTGTCAGAACTCCTGCCTTTAGTGGAATGGTGAGATGTTGGTGTAGTGGAGATCCACTGGGTGTGTGGGGGCCGGGTATGGAGCTAGTATTGATGGTGTTATTTATGTATGTATGTATGTATGATGGTTTCGTTTTACGAGGTAGCTATGTACTACTACTTAGCTTTGGCGAAGGGTAGATTGGGATGGAGGAGGTAGAAGACGTATGGAAGGTTCTATGCCCGGCTTCGATTGATTAATTAATTGATTGATTGATTGATTGATGAGTCTTAGGTAAGTAGTAGAGATACCTTTGTGTTAAGTATCTCGTGATCATGTGTCTGTGTCCATGTTACATTGCATTCAATTATCATTTCTACTGGTCTACCTTTGTACCTATAGTAGTTCTACTACATCTCATTCAACCGGAAAAGATATCCCAACAATATGTTCAACCTATTTCCACCTTATATCATGATTATAGGAGTATAGAATGTGATATTTTCCTTCATCTAACCAAGACACGTTCGATTCAACAGCACCTATCCTTACTACTGGCAACATACCCAACCACTATACACACTTCCCTCGACATCACCATCATCACCCATCAACTGGTACAGATCAAGCAAAGACAACATCTACTCCGCACCCCCCAAACAACCCCATCCACTACAGTAGCACATAGATACCACTACAGACAACCCCCAAGTAAAAAAGCAGATAGATAGCCCCAACAAATAAACCGAACCAAGAAAACAAGAAACAAAAAAACAAGGTTCAAAGCGCATATTTGCCCGAGTGGATCCCCCATCCAACCCAGCCCATCCCAACCAGTTGGTTCCAGTTTAAACTACTAACTTACTCCCAGGATAGAACATGTCAAACAGTCAACCCTGGAAAAGGATTCCGGTCTCATGTTTGTGATTACTTCTATCTAGGTGGTTCTTCGCCATGTGCGTATGTGTATATCATGGTGAGGCGATTTTATCGATAGTCATGCAAGGGATTATAAGAGTAGGTAATGACAAATCGTGTCGGGGAATTTGTGATTGCTTATGAATCGTTTTGGGGTTTGTTTTTGGGTAAGTAGATATGCTTTATGCCTCGGTTTGGTTCGGTTCCTAACGAGTACTGTGGTGTAGTGTTTAGTGGTTCGTGGAAGACTTCTCAGCTCCTATTGAGGTATCCGAATCTAACCTGATCATGTATACAATGCCAGCACTATAATTATAATGTAAACGCGTAGGCGTCATGAATGACCAAATAAAGGCCTCAGAGCCTACCAGACAATGGTAAATATGTCTAATCCGCGCTTTGCAGCTTCGACTCGATCGAGATAATGTCATCCTCCTCATATACCTCAATCACCCGGTTAACCTCCGCCGTATTGCGCATCAACTCAACAGCACCCGCATACATCATGCGCTGATTCGGGTTGCAGTTCTCGGGGAGGTAGTAGAGCATGACGTAAGGAACCGTAGGACGGCCGGAAGCCTGATGCCAGAATCATGCGTTAGCTCTATTTCAAATGTCTGGGTGATATAAGTATAATACTCACCAAGGTCAGAGGATAGCTGAGGAGGATAAACCGAGGAGACGATTCCGGAAGCTCATCGGCTACATCCTCCATCTTGGAGTAAACCTCGCCATCTTCAGGTCGAATCTCCTGGGTCTTGTTGTCGATGATATCTGTCAACCCTGTTGTCAACCACCCATTGTCCTATGATATTCGACGTGAGGCGAACAAGCTCGCGCGATAGCTGGACGGTTGTGCTCGTGATAGATAGGTAGGTAGAGAGCGGGGCTATGGAGGAACGACAGGAGACGGGATCCTACAAATAATGGCCTGCGGATCCTTGGCGCGGGAGGTTCCCAAGCGGAACTTGCGAAGCTTTTCTTTGGTTTCGGGGGAGAAGGAGTATAGTCGTGATTCAGACTGCATGGAGAGAAGCTCAGGTTAGCAGGGGGGAGGAAGCGGGCACGCGATGCGGGGCAGTCCAACCACTTACCATGTTGTGAATGGGTGATGCGACAGTAAGGCGGAAGCAGAAACAGGATATTCGGAAGTGCGCTAGAAGCAAGAGGAGTAAAAATCGGTAAACCCCCAGACGGGATGTGAGCGGGGATGGACGGGGGAGCTATCTGGTTGGGGATGAATTTGACCGAAGAGACGAAGGAGGAACAAGCAAGTGGTGGTTGCTCCGCGTTTTCGGCCCGGTGGGATGAAAGGCGCGGCACTTACTCCACCTCCTCCTCGCTCTCCTTCACTTCCCATTCAATAATTCTCCTCCCCGCCCGCGCTTGTTTGTTACTCCGCCATTCCTCTCCTCCTCCCTTCTCCCTCATGTTCAGTCGTCTCGGTCAAGTCGCCCGCCATCTCACTCGACCGTCTCTCAACCTCACTTCCACGCCTACCTTCACCTCGCCCTCTCTGACCCCGCCCCTGCTTCGTACACCATCCCCCAAAATGACATCATCCGTCCTCCCGAAGAACAAGAGGACTATTCACACGGCGGCATGCCTGATCATTGGTGACGAGGTCCTTGGTGGAAAGGTAAGAAGCGAATGAGCTGTCTGCTGTTCAATTCTATCTTCCCTTCAAGCATCGTTCATACCCACGTCCTTGGTTTGGACTGACGATTTCGGAAATGCCAGACCATCGACACCAACTCCGCCTTCTTCGCCAAGTTCTGCTTCTCCCTCGGCATCCAACTGAAGCGCATCGAAGTGATTGCCGACGATGAGAGCGAGATCATTGAAGCAGTGCGACGTATGAGCGACCGCTATGACTTCGTCGTTACCAGTGGAGGCATTGGCCCAACGTCCGTACACCCCCCACATCGATTTAATAAAACCTCCACGCGATATGAATACTGCATATGGCTTGAAAAGCTGACTGATATATGATGTTAATCGCAAAAGCCACGACGACATCACCTATGAATCGATAGCCAAGGCCTTTGGTCTGAACCTAAAGCTCCACCAAGCCGCCTTCGAGCGTATGAAGAAGCTCTCCAAGCCCCATCCCATGCAACCAAACTTCGACTGGGACACCCCGTCACCTAGTCTGACGGCGAAGCTGCGCATGGTCGAGATCCCTCACGACGAGTCTGTGCCTTTGGAGGAACAGGCTGTGTTTGTTGCGGATGACATGTGGGTGCCCATTGCTATTGTCAACGGCAACGTCCATATCCTTCCTGGTGTTCCTCGTCTCTTCGAAAGGCTACTCGAGCATCTCAAGCCGAACTTGTTGCCTCGCTTGGTCAACCCGGAGGGAAAGGGCATCTATCGCTACCTGTTCAGCACACCACTCCCGGAGAGTACGGTCGCCCCCTACCTGACGGAACTTGCTACTCGTGTTGCTTCGAAGAACATCAAAGTTGGCAGTTACCCCCGGTGGGGTAATAAGCGCAACACTGTGACTCTGGTCGGCACTGACAAGGAGTTCATGGACTCGCTTATCGCAGAGGTGGAGCAGAATGTCGAGGGAACCAAGGTAACTCGAGAGGATGAGCTTGACCCTCCCTCGGACGCTGAGGAGGGCAAATAAGTGGAACGTTGGCGGTCATAGTATGTCTTTCCAAACAATAGTTGCTAGATTTGTAGACAATGACACGCTATTCCGGATATGCGTGATAGCAGTGGGTGTATGGTGGACCTTAGGATTCACGAACCTGCGTAGATGCGTTATCTTCGACAGTGTCCATCCACATCTGCCATTAGGAACGCGTGCTGTTCAAACAACGTACCACTCACCACTCAGATGTTGTTGAGGTTTGAAGACCAGCCACCAAATCTCCAAGACATCACTAAGTAACCCACTATAAGATACTAACCACAGAGGAAGTGAAGAATGAAGGCTTATTCTCGGAGACCAAAATTTCAGAATCAAATAAGATTACCCAATAGTTCAAGTGTATACATGAAGGAAGAAAACCAGACAGACTAAGATAGAGATGCTTATGGCGCGCCGCTGCTGAGTGCAGAATAGGGGAAATGAAACCAAGGATAGACCAAGATGAAAGAGGGGAAGAGGGGAAGAGGGGAAGAAGGAAAACGGGCAGAGACGTTAGGTGGCACAATGATATCGCAACGTCTAAACACCTGACAGACGGAAGTATCAACGTGCAGTTCATCTCACCGAAAAAAGGTTCAGCAGGTGAGATCCTGCCCGACAGAGTGCAAAGTTGGTAAATGAAAGAAAGGACCAAACGTATCCCGGATGCATATAGGAAAGAGATCAATGAAGATGAAAGTAAAGACAGATAGTTAAGATGATCAGCGGCTGCTGAATGTGCAACAGATCTGAATTGCTCGTCCAGCGTGGCCGACAAGACGAAAAGGAAGGATGATTCTGCAGCTCCGGATAGTACCACATATGCGGACCGCGACAATAGCGTACCTATGTTAATGCACAGATCTATTGACAGGCTCCGTTCTCGTCCTTTCAAAGATCGAGAAATCGTCAAAGAAAATCAATCTTCCAAAAAAGAGGTAATAATAATAAACAAAATAGAGGAACAAAGGGGGAATCGAACGTTCATGGAGACGATGGCGGCATTAGGGTGTGAGAGCAGACATCATCTGAGAGTGAGGCTCGTATGGTATAATGATCACAAAATCAAAACGCGTTGACAAGCCACATGTTGCAGCAAGGCAAGTGGCCCGTCTCTGTTGCTGACCTCTCTTTCCAACCGGGGGTGACTGTATGTGTTTTTGCTTTCCTTCCGTATCTCGACCTGTATGTATTTCTTTTAGATCCAACGCCTGTCCCATTACATAATTATACATTTTCCACAGCAGCCAGCGTCATCGCCAGGCTCGCTGACGTCCATTTTTCCTTCCGGGGCGCGTGAGCCGCCACCCGCGCCAGACGGGTACGATGACATCTCTTTGTTGAACCGACGAATCTCGCGCACCAGGTCGTAGAAAGCGTTCTCAACGTTGATACGGGACTTGGCGGATGTCTCGATGAACTTACAGCCAAACTGCCGTGCTAGAGCCTCACCCTCTGTAGAGATAACATCGTCAGCCAAAACCTCCCGCGACAAGCAGATGCTAGGTCGGAGAACCCACCTTCTTCAGAAACAGCCCTCTCCTTTTCCAAATCGCACTTGTTGCCGACCACGATGATGGGGAAGTAGTCCTTATCCTTGACTCGCAGGATCTGTTGTTGGAAAGTCATAATTTCCTCGAATGATTGGCGCGACGTTATCGAGTAGACGAGAAGGAAACCTTCGCCGGTTCGCATGTACTGTTCACGCATCGCCGAGTATTCTTCCTGTCCGGCAGTATCTAGAACGTCCAACAATGCCACCTCCTCATCGATGACGCACTGCTTGCGGTAGGAATCTGTTCAAACACGAATCGAAAGATAAGCCACACGGTCGGAAAGGTACAGCAGAGCTCAGCGCCCACCTTCAATTGTCGGGTCATATTCATCCACGAAGTGGCTCTGGATCAATTGGATGGTCAAGCATGACTTTCCGACACCACCACCACCAACGACGACGAGTTTGTATTCTCTTAAAAACTATATGCGACCGAGAGGTGAGCGATTCGTCATGTTTCCGGGGGAGCGAGGGAGTTCGGTGATCATAAAGAGAAAGTGAAAGTCGGGAAGGGAGGTGACAGAAGGCACATGGACGCTAATGACGGAAAGTGGAAAGCGCAGCGACAAGGCTTACCTTTGAAGCCATTCTGGTAGGTTCTGGCTTGGTATTATGCTGTGAGGGAGGGAAGGGAAAGAGGGGGAGAGAAAGAGAAGCGGTTAATCGAAGCTATCCCAACAGGAGCTGTGACAGCGGGTCGAAGGAGCAGCAACACAAATTTCTTTTGCAGAAAGAGACAAGACGAACAAGAGTCGGGGCCCAGGTCGTCGGGGGTTTCGCGCAAAGCAAAGGCGCCAAAAGGGCAGTCCACAGCAACGGCGGGTCTAATTGATTAGGCCAAGCTTAAAGCAGCAGACTGGGGGGTAGTAGTAGAAGCAGAAGTGCGTGTGGGAAGCAGGATCCAGGGGGGGTCGTGGAACTTTGCAGGCAGGCGGGAATTGAAAGGCGAACCGGCAGGGTTTCTGCGTAGTCTGCAGTTCGTCTTGACCCAATTCGTTCTAAGCGACCAGGGAATATGGAAAAGTCAAAGGGAACTACTTAGAACACCTTCGAGAATCAGGGTGGATTCAAGGAGGAGAAGAAGAAGAAGAAGAAAGTATAAAAAAAGAAAGTAAAAAGAAAAAAGGGAAAGAGAATGGGGTGGAGAGACTTGGGGAGGGGAAAGGGGAGGGAGGAGACAGAGAGGATGATGATTAAGGAGAGTTAAGCCAACTGAGGAACGGAGGTGGGGATAGGCAGAGCAGCCCAGAAAGGAGGGAGAGTCTAGATAGTCAACTACTGAATACTAACTAATTAGTGGTGGACAGGCAGACAGTCCAGTACTAAGTAGTATAAGTAGTATAATTGGAGAGGAATTTCTTCCCAGAGAACACAAGCCAAAGTCACAAAATGAAATATGTAAATAATAATTATTAACCGCGGGATAAGCGCCTTGATTGGTGTGGAACAACCCCTACCGACGCAGTGAAAAGAGCGCACTTCCATGGAGAAATTGATATGATGCGGCTGCTGATTGGAAGGAAGGGGATTTCGAAGGTTCGCCAGAATTAATCTTACCATAATCACTAATGATATGATAATCCTCCTAGTGCAGGAGTCGGTTAAGTACAAAGGTCCTAGTCTTATCTGACTGCTGCTGCTGCTGCTGGTCTTAAAAACAACAAATTGCCTCCGATTAGTGGGCAGAAATATGAGTACTGAATTGAAAGGGGGGGAAAAAGGGTAGGGAAGGGAGCGCAAATGAGAGAGACAGAGAGAAAGAGAAAGAGATGAGCAGTGGGTGTGGCATTAACCGGCAACGCGTGTGGATTCCCACCAATCCAGCCAACTGTTTAATTTCACTGGTCCCGGTTGGGCCCACCCGCCGATAATTAACCTCAATCGTCCGATCGCAAGATATGAAATGAACCTGAACAGCCAGCAGTCAGTCAGAAGTAGATTCCCCAGACAGACAGACGGCCTAGTAATTGAAATGGTTCTGTCAATCCTAGTACTACTTATCTTCACTGCAGTCCGATCATCCATGATAGGCTACTGCAACGGTATTGGAACAAAAATGAGTCAGTCAGTCAGTGGGTGGGAGGAGGAGGGAGGAAAATGGTTGCATAGTGAGGTAGCCTGAAAAAAGGGGCCGGGGATCGAATTCCCAGGGCACACCCAAGATTAATGATCCATTGGGTCTAGTCTCTCGCTGTCCCTCTCTCTTCCTCTCTTCTCTCTTTCTCTCCCACTGCCAATACCCGTAAGCATTTGGTGGTTAATGGTTAAATAATACGATGAAAATAAATTAGTTCCCTAATACTACCTACTAGTTATCTGGTTCACTTACTTAGTATAATATAATGGATTTCATTTCGTATTGATGATCTGACCCAGCAGATACATACCACCACCACCACTGCAGCTCTCAATAAATGGTGACTTTATTTATTAGGCTGGCACACAACAATATAATCCCCGACTCAACTAGCAGTTATTATGCAACTTGATTCGAATACATGACGTGTGAGACCATTCCATTCATCATACTATCTATCTCTCTCACAGATTAATCTTCACCAAGATCCACCCACTTTTTTTTTTTTTTAGCGCCGGTCGTTAATGCTTCTAAATCGTCCAGTGTGTCTCCATCCCAACTTTCCCCCCCCCCTGAGGGTCCTTTTCTACCCCCCTGCTCACCTTACGCAACACAGTAAACGAACGAATAGCTTCCGGACTCCAAGCCAATCACCGTGAAGCCTACTGGGTGGATGCGCTCCTCTCCTGACTCTGCGTCCCGCTCCGGTTCCTTGAACAAGTGAACTCCTTCGGTCCCAGGGTGCAGTCTTACTTACGCAAGCACGGTAAGAAGATGCAACAAAACGAACACCCATTGCTAATAAGTTTCCCGTCCGACTCAGTCAAAACTCGGAACGATCCATTGAACTAAAGGCCCTGGCCGTTACGATTTAATAGAAAAAAACGGGGGCGGATTTCCCGAGAGGAAGTTCTACTGGATGTGAGTTCTTACTGTGGGCGCGTGGAGAGGAAAAGAAAAAAACGAGGGTAAATGTGTGAGTGGGAGAAAAAGAGAGAAAGAAAGACAGCATTCATCCGAGAGGTTCTTGTCCTTTCCCGGCTGCCGTTTTCCTTCTAGAAGGGTAGAAACCCATTCTCAGCCTTAACAGATGCTACATGACAGCTCCGATTTGACACACCGAATTACATCATGATTCGAAATATTGAGTCTGGATTTGGCTTCGGTTTGGCTTCGACAGCGTCATGGAATTTGTGTCCCTGAGGGGGGAAAGGAAACTCGAGTCCAATGGAGGGAGTCGTGCTCGACTAGTCCAGAAGAAGCCTAAAATAGCCCCAGAGACCGAGTTCAGGATGTTCTCCACGCCTCCACTTTGCCAAAGGTGATATATTGGTCTGTGAGACCGTCCGATCCCATAGCCCAAGTTGCTGCTCAATCATTCATTGGCGAATGAGGCGGCGACATCGATACAACTCCTTGCTCCTCCTTCGGTGATGAGCGGAGTAAATCCCGGATGATACCCTCGAGTTGTCAAAAGATGACGTCCCGCAAATTTTAACCCCGGAAGTTACTGAACACATTTTTGCATCCTTGCATCCCAGCTGCAGCTGGGGGAGATTTTGCCTTGCTCCCCGTAATACCACTACTTCCTGCAGTGTCGTGCGTTGATCCTTTCCAACCACATGCGCTTCTCATTGAGTATCTCTCCAGGGTCGTCTTATCTTCTGTTTCTGCTACTACCACCCTGGAGTGAACTAAACCCACCCGTGTTCCCGAGCCATGGCACCCAAGCCACCGACTCAAGTCACATTGCCTGATTTTGTGCACAACTGCTGATCACGGAAATCTCTTCCATTCTACCGACTCATCACATTGACAGAGCCATGGGCTTGATTTGGAGGCTACCCAAGTCTGGGTAACCGACCGCTTCAGGGAACAAAGATACGGCGGGCGTCCCTGCGCCATACCTGCGGGGTCGTCCGGGCATGCGACCGAGATCGGTACCTGTCACCTAACCTGACTATCGTACCAGTCATACTCCAGACCTCAATCCATGTGCCTGGATGCCCAAATCATGATCAAACATTCTCCTGCAGCAACTACCAGCCCAGCAGAGCACTAATTTAGCTGCGAAGATACCCTAACCGAAGCACATCTCCACCGCCCTCCGATGTGCGGTCTGCGTGTGCGTGCTTGCTTTATCTTCGAGCAATAAGATGGCCAGACCGAAACTTCAATGACTAGACAGCCATCAAACACGTCCATGACGTGGCCAGACAAGAAACAGCATGCAGCAACCACATCAAGCCGTCACATTGAGACTTGCAGTAGGCAGTGTACCTAGGCCACACTACCTGAGTGGGGTCACTTCAGTCAATCTTCTCTGCCCCCTCTGTGACACATCCAACGCCTCCAACTATGTTGTCAAACGTCAACAATAACTTTGTTCCATGACTGGGCGCATATCAGAATGATCTGCGGGGTACCAAGACCCAGATAGGCGTCGCTTAATCCATCACAACTGACTTTTGGCTGACACAAAAGCCCTGAGCCACAAAGGGGTCATAGCTGAATACTGCCCCTTTTTCGGATCTCGGATATTTACCTACCTTTTCTATATTGGCTATCTACAAGTAAGTACAGTAACAGTATTCAAGAATTGGCACATTCCAAATCAGCAGCCATTTATCGTAAGAAAGACCAAACCAATTATCATGTTTGAATTTCAAATCACAGATAATTCTTCATTCGTCCCTTTCGGCCCCCAATTGATAATATGCAGGGGTATTGTAGATAGTCTACTTAAAGCTTGGGGGCCGGCCGGGGGTCTCCGCCTTGCCCTCTGTCTATCTCCTGAAGAAACTTCAGTTGGAGAGGAAAGGACCACAATATTTCCAAACTAGCGATTGGCTGCATATTGTAGCTTTCTCTTTATACTTCAATGCTGTCCCCTATACCAACCAGTATAGGTCAGGCTCATCAATAAACAGAGCCAAGTGAAGCTTACTTATTATTTCCTCTAGGGAGAGTACTACAGTACACAGCTACCCCGATATATGTTCATGTTCATTGTACTGATTGAATGTCTTCGCTACGTACATGCCCGGCTAGCTAGCTCCCTTATCTTTGCATTTTGGTTTTCTTACTTCAGAATAGACCTTCTGGGACTTTTCTTCTCTTCTCTCCTTGAAATAGAAAAAGGGAAACATGTTATGAAGTTTTCTTGTTAAAGTGAAGTAAAAGAAACAAAGAAATTCGTAGCGAGACGTCATCATTTCATATCATCCATGCATGGGTACTTAATATTCCCCAGTAAAATGGAAGAGTATCCAGGATCCTAAAGTGACCATTATCAAGAGATCAAACCGGTATTAAACCCAAGGTGAAAATCACAGTCAGCATGGAAATCCCGAATGCAACAAGAAAAGAACCGGTTCTTCTCCAGCCGGCTCCCAAGTCAGAGTCGTAGAGAAAGTATCGTAAAAGACAACGTCCCCTTGTTCCCAGGTATGCCAATAACAAACCCTACGGTCATAGAGAAGAGGATTCAGGACATTGCATAGTCTGTTTG